GATAGGCTACACTAGGTACAAGGGTTTAGAAAGATGGTGTAGGGTATTTTAGGGTGATATGCTACATATGTTTTCGAGTTGAGAATCTTTGTAATATGTGGATTAGATTACTCCTTAATGCTTATACTTCTCTTTAACTGATGATGATTGGCTTTGTGGGACCATGTTGTGCAGGTTGGGTCTGCATCTTTGTTTAGCCTGTCAAAAGGATCTCATGCTGGAATGGGCAGGAAATTAAACCAAAACAATGGGTCGATTCTGCACATCTGCTTGACTTGAATTTTGTTTCATAATCTTTAAAATCTCTATTTGTTTTTGAATGCTAGTATCATGTAAAACTCGGTTCATTTCTTGCTTCTTATTTTCATTAACATGTGCGATGTTGTGTAAGTTCCATTATATAGTTGTGTGGTTGTTCTTTGGATGTTTGTCTCAAAATCTTAAATTATTGTTGTAATTAACTTGATTATATCTCTGAGCAAAAAAGAATCATACATTTATTATTGAAAAAAAAGTTTCTTTACCAAAAAAAAAGAAAAAAGAAAGAAGTTTAAAATTTCAATTACTAGAATACTTATAATATGACATTTCTCTCTCCCTCCTTGAGAAAAAAGGAAAGAAATTACATTTGGAAACATCAGTATACAAAACTGAGAACAACAGGGATCCTTGGAGTCATGCATAGACTCGGGAACATTTTTAAGCTGTTCTCTATGCTCATATCGGCCATTCATACAAAAATTTTCCTAGAAACAGATGAAATGGTCAAGAAACTAGAGTTACAAAATGCATTTGGATTATCAAAACTACTCTTCCACAATTACTGCTTGGTAAAGCAGACAGCTCAGCTAGAATACTTGGGATAACCTGACCAAGGTTCTACCCCATTGGAAGCTTCCTCCCCTTTTGCTGAAGTCGAGGAGCTAACTTGGCGATTGTTCTCACGGCTGGTTGTTTGAGGCTTTCTGGGTTTTGATTGAATGTTAGTACCCATGGGAAAGGGCTCCTGCATCAAAAGGAAAACTAGTCACTCTGATACAAAGTGACAAGGTGCTTAATGAGTTAATGCAATCACTCATGCTGTGTAGCACAAGTTATTAAACCTTAACCCCCTGTTTGGTTTGAGAGAAATGGAAACATAGTCCAATTCCCTCTCCTCCCCTCCCCTCCCCTCTGTTTCCTTATTTCCCCCCTTCCAATTTTTTTGTTATCCAAATAGGGAAATTTTAATCCCTTCCGTCAAACCAAATAAGTGATTAGACTTTATGAGCTACTTCACTAGTTTGACATGATAACCTACTTGATCACCAGCATTTGAACCATCAGTATGAAAAAAAATAGGACGGCATTGTTTATCTTCATTCATCAAGCTTGAGTTCTGGAAAGGGGCGATAAGAGCAGCTTTTCCTTGAATCCTAGCATATGCAAGCAATGCCACTTTTTTACTGTTGAACTTTTTCCATTTTTTGCCATTGAATGCCTACAAATTGGTTTAATAACACATTAACATGAAAAAAAATATTTGTAAATATGAAAAAGCACTACAACATCTAAATCCCATTTCAAACCTTATGGAATGGAATAATCTGTTTTGGATCAATCATGTTGATGAATGCATAGCCCACGTTGCATTTATTCTGTTGACAATATGCACAAGTCTCAAGTTAGAAAAGAAATATATGCTCTTTCACAATAAGGTCAAGATAAGTGTTAGAAATGAGGATTTCTTCAACCTCCATTCACCCCAGCCTAAGGCACTTCAAGGGGGGGTCGAGCTCATCAAAAAATTAATTTACTTGCCTTGAAGTCAATTGGCAAATAAATGAAATCATAAGTTCCTTGACAGTGCTCATTTATTGCAGCCAGAAGCATCTTTGAGGTATACCTGCATCGAAAGGCTGTCAGATTGATAACGAAGTAGATAAGGAAAAAGGAGAAACCAGAAGCAAAAGTATCCATAACAGAATGCTGCTCTTTTTTTTTTTTTTTTTTTTTTGTGGCCTCAAACAACAGCTATATTATCACATATGACGTAATTATCAATCAATCACCACCAACACTGAACTTACTTTAACAACATTATAGACTATGGACATTAAAATGACTCACACAATACTGTAAAAAATAAAAACAAAACTAAGGGAATTTCAATTGTGATTTCAAAGTCACTTGCTATTAGTCCTAGTCACAACATCTACAGGTTCTAGATCCTTTAGGGCTTGTTTGGTTGGTGGGACTGGCTATTCCTAGGTGAAACTATGAAAACAAGCTAAAGATTAAGAAATTTCCATAGGAAGTTAGGAATGTATAACTAGACATGACCCTAGTGAAGGAAAAATGCTCCATCATATGACGGTTTCTACATAAAGAAAAATATTAAAATCAAATGACAAATGTATAACTAGAAAGATGGAAGATGAAGTAAATAAAGAATAAAATAGCTAGTGTAACAGGAAAATCATTCACATACTTGTTTGGAATGTTCTTTATCATTAGCGTTTGTTCTGCTGTCTTCCTTGTGTATGATGCAGTCAATGTCAAGTTCATATTGTTTCTTATCAGCATTAATAAAATTCAATTCATTTCTATGGTGCGAGAAATTTCTCACACGTTCATTGGGAGACTCAAAAGAACCTGGCATTTATCACAGGGTTTCTTCCAAGGAAAAGGTGACACATTTGCTGAGGAGAGTATACCACACCATTGTTTCCACCAGCATGTGAGAAAATGTTGTGAGAAGCAATTTCCACAGTGTGTGATGGAGAACTACCATGAAATCCAACATTCCCTAGGGATCCTAAGTGAAAACTGGAGGTGTCAGGAGATTTCCCAGCATAGGCATGTTGCCTGTCCGTAATGGTGAATTAACTGGTGGTGCCGACCCAATGTGGTGGTGCACAGGTGATGCTGCATTCAGCATAACAGGAGGTACCCTAGGAAATGCAGGCATATGCTGAACACGATTGACAAAAGAGGGCGAATTAGGCCAAATCCTGCCACTTGAAGGGTGCTGCTGATGTGAGTTGGAGTTGTTCCATGCATAACGATTTCTATGAAGCAAACAGCTTCCATTACCAGATGATCCAAAAACTAGAGCGAATGAATCAGCTAACAAGTCAACTGAACACCTTAAAAGAATACTAGCAGTTGAGTTCTGTTCATATTTTTTATCAAAGAAAAATGGAGAGAATCGGTAGGAAGAAGATGAAGAGCAGAACACATAAAATGGAGAGAAGTATATGACTTCAACTCAATTTTTCTCATTAACATATTTATAGGAGAATACAAACAATTCAAAATTCAAATCTATTCTACATTAAAAAACAATAAAAGTACATTTGAAATTTAAACAAATAACAACTACTTTGGCCACCTGCTGCGTCCTTTGGCAGCTCTGCAGCATGCTTGGTCCCTTGGCAGCTCTGCAGATGCATTTGCATTTCATCTGCTGTTCATTTCAGCTTCCTTTCATCAACATTCTGCAGCTTAGCTTGCTGCACTTTGCTGCTACCGAGCTGTGCAGCTCTCCCTTCTTCATTTGCTACCATTTTTTGCAGCCTTCCTTCTTCATTTGCTGCCATTTTGTGCAGCCTTTCATCTTCATTTGCTGCCATTTTGTGCAGCTCTCATTTTCATTTGCTGCTACTTTTGCAGCTTGAACACCACAACTCCAACAAGTTCTCTTAAAAACTATAGTTGCTTTCTCTATCTCAGTTGTCACAAGTGACGCAATTATGTGAAAATTGTCAATGGTAAAATCTAACCAAGATAACATACCCCCTTCATTAGGTTCTATCGAGTGCCCATTTATGCTCACTCCATGAATGCTCCTATTATCAAGTCCATCAGTCATTGGGGAAACAAAACTGCTAACCATGTCCGGAATGGTGCTTGAGGAGTTAGATGGAAGGCTTTTGGCTGAATTATCATGATACTCGGGAAAGGATTGGGGATGGAAACTTGTAATGCACTGGTTCTGGAACTTAATTACATCTAGAGTGTGGTTTGGCTCCCGAAGGTTAAATTGGTTGTTAACGGATGCCACTCTTGCAAGAGAGGGCAAGTTGATTGGAACACCAGAACTTTGACTAGGTCCAATAAATGTATTCACAGGTGACCGTATAACATCCTGTAATATCGGGCTGGATCCATTATCCATGTAGTCAGATGCACATACCCCAGCTGTTGCAGTAAATGATAATGAAATAACAGAAAATAAGAACTAAGAAAACAACTTAAAATAAATGACCAATAATTGATGAGAATAAATAAACAATTAATAGGAAACCATACCCACGCGTCTTGCCATCAAGTCATCCAAAGAACTTTGACAGAGATTACTAGATTCATCTTGCCCTTGGTCTGAAAGTTGCATAAAACTGCAAAAAGGAAATCCTTTTCCTATATCTACTACTTCTAGAGGTAAAATCAAAAAGACAAAAGGTAAAAGGAAATAGCTCAATTATACTAATTGCATATTATATGGCACCCAAAGAATTGATTGTGTGTTATTGATAGTTCAACATTAACAGCAGAATATGACAATGGAAGTAAAATCATCCACCATCATATAAGGGGTAATACAAACCTTTCCACATCCAGGCCCAGAACAAGAAAGCAGCGTATAGCTTTATCTCCCTATTAAAAAGCTAGAATCCACTACCCTAAAACAGTGAAAAAGAAAGGAAAATAGTGCTGGCAAATGATATACCATCTTACACCCCCTGGAGGACTTGGTTCAATTTCGATCTGCTTCTCACCAATGTCACACCTATTCAATGCACAAAGAGCATCTTCAACAGCTCTAACATCATAAAACTCAATGAATTTGTGATTTTGCTCAGGTGAAATCTCATGGATCTGCAAAGCAGAGTTAACCACAATACTCATCACTCTATTAAAAGTGAATGTAAACCTAAGGAACCCATTGAACCACATACTTTAATTTCTCCAAAAACAACAAAAATTTGTTGAAGCCCATTGGTTGAAACAGAGGCATCAAGATTGAAAACCACCAGCGTTCCCTGATTGACATCTTTTTCAGATGTATTACCCTGTTGTATTATCAAGCAAAGAAAAAATTCATCAGACAAAGTGTTACACCAAGATGAAAGAACCAAATAAATGAAGCTAGTAACAGCAATGACAACCTTTGGAATAGAATAATGTATATCTAGTTTCCTATGCCTCAATGGCTTATTTTGGAGAGCTCTCGTTGCATTTTGGGCTGCCCTTATATCATAATAAGAAATTGTGGCAAAACCACGATGCTTGCAGGCTCTATAGAGAGTACGGATATCTCCATATTGCTGACAGGAAACAACCATCAATCCAATTTGCTTAAAAATATTCCCACAGGTCATCAGAGGAGACAAAGATTCCAACAAATATTGTAAAAAATGAAGGAATACAAACCTCAAAAAGTGCCTTGAGTTCAGAATCTTCAACATTACTGTTTATGTTTCTCACAAAAAGTGTTCTAGAAGGATGTCCACCAACAATTGAACCATTAGATGCTCCTACAATATCTAAGTTTCCTTGACCCACACCTAAACGATCATCACTTTCCGATTCCACGCCCCCACCACTGCTAAATAGGTCAAAATCCTCTAATTCATCATCCCTATTGGCAGGAGTATCAAGTCCCATTACTCCAGAAAAAAGATCATCTTCGTCAGGAAGGAGACTTCCAATGGCCTGCACCTCAATTTCTTGAAGGGATTCTAAAGGTTCTTCCTCATGGTCTAACCAACCTTAAAGCTAGGTAGAAGAGTTGGATTATCATTCCTCAATAATTGCACTACATAAGATTAGAAAATTAAAGCACAAATCAGACAAGAAATTAAGCAAATAGAATGATTTTTAAAACTATTTTTGATTTCTTTACACGAAATGCTTGATTTTCTGACATTAATGTTTAAGAGGAAATGCCTGGGACACAGAGAGACAAATTATAACAAATAAGAAAAATAATTTTTGTACTTCTACACTTATGTTTGCCATTAATGTTTGGAACGCTACATTGGCAAATTAAAAGGGTTATCTGTCGAACCATCAAGCATTAAGTCCAATAAAGTATCTTCTTTTAGGAAATCTGAGAGGAACAGAGCAAACACGTCAAGAACATACAAGCTCAAAATGCATAAAGAGGATATCTTATGCTTTCTACTAAATATTTCTGACAATGAGCTAGAGAACAGACTGCTTTCATGCTGGATCAAATTGGTGTTGGTCCTGTTTGCATTCATATTATTTGCTACCGTTAGCCTATACAAGTCATTAGCATATACAAGTCAGACCAAGATTTTGGATGGTGATCCACTGAATTCCATGAAATCTCAGACAAACTGGAAATTAGTCCTCTAGAAATTCCCCCCATGCCTAGCTTCCCTTCTTGGTCTCTGGCCAGATTTGACAGTGGCTCCAATGGTGATAAAGCAGCTATCTTGTCTGTCAAGAAGACAAATCATTCTTAAATAGGAAATCACATGTGGAATTTCTATTGAAAATATTCAAAATTAGAATACAACAAGATATTAAATGTAAAAGGCTCAAATCATGCATAATTAGGCACACCAACTAAAGACTGTTAGTACAGTTAACCAGAAGAAAAAATTAATAAAGCTGTTTTGAACCTATCTCTGGCTTAAAATTTCTCAGCAAGCATAAGACACAAGAAGGCAACAGGAAAGAACCAACCATGTGAACTACAATGAAAGCATGATTAGCAATGGTCAAGGAGGTAGATTTTGCCACAAAAATGCAAAAGAAGTGTTCCATTAAACTTCTTAAGTTAAGATTGTCACACCAGTCTACAATGTCTGACTTGTTAAAAAGTATTTGTGTGGAGATGATGCAAAAAAAGGTGGTAAGGTACCAATCGAATACACATATATGCTACAATCAAGACACAAAAACTTCAAGCACTTTGGATACAGACAACACAAAACAAAGTGGTTTCAAGTTGCAACCAGCTCGTCCAGTTTGTTGATCCATTCAGTCATTCACTCAGTCATAATGATTTAGCATGTCTCGCAAACACCAGACATGCACAGGGACCATCAACAGATTCACTACACTTTCTTTAGCAAAGATGCCAAGATTAATCCACAAATAACCAGCAAGAGTACTTACACAATAACATCCACCCGCCAAAATCTCATCCTGAGAGTCAGTGCCTATCAAAAAGCCAGTGACATGGAGAATGAAATTGTTTAAATTTATTAGCAGACAGAACCAAATCACTCATTAATGCAACAGTTCTCACCTGAGTTACCAAGCATGATATTTGGGTTCCAAGATCCAACTTGCATCTGCACAACAAAAGTTGAAAAAAAAAAAAAAAACCAAAAAGGTTTATCTTTTCTAATTCAATGATGATTAAAGACTTTTTATAAGAATGATTAATATATGCAATAATCTTTAAAAAAATAAACCAACACCAGTCCCATACTGAAAGAGCAATTACAGGTTTGAAATTGAAGCAACAATAAACATGTTGGAATACCTCAGCTGGTAACCTGGCATCTTCAAAGAAAAGATGAAGATACAACCCATTGATCCATGATCCCAAAC